AGAAGATTTTAAGTTTTGACAAATAGAAGCTAAAAACAAGTCAGAATAAAGCTAATCAAAAGGTAAAGAGATAAGTCCTTCTTTTTTAATAAATTAATGTCACTTAATTCCAAAAATACTACCTAGTAGCAAAAATGTTTTTCAGGTTAAACTTAGAATACAAAATATTAAATACCTAATCAAAAATGTATTCAGCTACTGTAAGTTTTGCCTTACTGAAATAAATCAAGTGCTTTCACATATTTGATTAAAAAGCTAATTTCCTGAACCGCTAATCAGAACTATTTGTGAGCAAACACAGTATGTTTTATTGAATAATCCTTGTCTGTAGCCAAACAATGCATTTATTGAAATTAATACATACCGAAAAATTCTGGAAGTATAAACTATTTTTTAAAATATGTGACAAGTACTGCACTTTCACCAGATATGAGGACAAGAATCGTACCAAATAAATAATTGACATCATGGCTTGGTTCAAGGCAGTATTTTATTTACTGTAATTGCACTTTTGTGCCTGTGACATGAGAGAAATTTTCTGGGCCGTTCAGGCTATGCAGACTCCTTTTCTTTGATGCTATGGTCATTTCAGTGACTGATACTGGAGTATCAAGTTTTTTCTTCAGCAATAAATAAATTTTGTAGAAAATAGTTACTTATTCTTTACTGTTTTTATCAGCTTCAAACATTTTATTCAGTAAAATATATTATATAATAAAGAAGACCCAATACTGACTTAAAAGAAAGGTTCTAGGGGTATTTCATTAATGTGTGGATGAAACTCTTGAACTCAGTAATAATTTTGCAAAAAATCAACACTAGAATATCACCTTAAATTACTATCTTTTAACTCGGTGAAGAGAAACACACAGAAGAAAAAATGCTAATCTGAGACTTCTCAGAAATACTTATGCCGACTCTTAAATTTTATGAATTAGTCCTCTGGACGCGCTAAGTGACTTCCCTTCATTTTTAACAGTTGCATTGTTTTGTTTTGACTAACAAAGCGCAAGCTGTAAAAAATAGTAGCCTGCATGGACCGAAGTAATTTGTTTCCCCGATTAATTAACATTCAGCTAGCAATGCATTTCCTTCATCATTTCTTTATTCAATATACAGTTTAGCTTCCTCTTGGAAATTGCAATGAACAGGGTTTTAAAATGTGTATACACTATGCACAAGTAGTAAAATATGATAGCAATCTGACAGTCTGAATCCATCTCGTCCTTTTGGAGGGAAAAAGAGAAAGAAAAAAAGTCAGGCTGAGAGGTTGGGTAGAGGAATTGAAAATATAAATTTTGTGATGAAAACTAGTTAAACTTACCTGTACCATATAATCTTGCAATGAATCTTTAGCAGTTGTTTTGCCTTTAAAGCTAGATTTTAATTTATAGATTTCAATATGCTATAAACAATAAGGGGATGTTGAAGAATAAATTTCTGTAATGTGCCATCATGGCATATGTGTACATTTCTAACTTTTTCGGGGTGACTATCCTTTTTTCTAGCCTTGGTCTCTTCACCTTTGCAATTCTACAGCTCAGAGCTTTGTCCTCTCCTCCATTTTATGGTTTTTCTTCTCCTCCATTTTATGCTGTCTTTTCTTAGGTATCGTGTCTATATTTGACAACCATACCAAAAGATAGAGAAAGCCTTATTTTGTCAACCCACCTGTCTGTTGCCATGCCTTTCTTGTTTCTGGCAAAATAAAAATTACCAGGACTTCTGTCAGCCGGAGCTCTGAAGCTCAGAGTTCATCAATTTAGTGGTTTAATGCCAAAGTATCAGGCCAGTGATATTACTTCAGATCACACACCAAAACTCTAAGTGATCGTTCTTCACAGCATCGTGAGGCCTAATATTGTACATACGCAGTGTGTTAGAATTAAGGGCCTGATCCTGCAGCCAGCGTGATTTTCCTTTTCAACTCAGCTTGGGCATAACTGAGACCTAGATATACAAAAGCATTTTTTTACAACACAGTGACCAGACAACCCACGGCGCCAGGAAACTGAGAAGGCAGAACCACCCCATCGCCCGTGCTCTGCATCCGTACTGAAGGAGACGCACCCGCTGCTAAGTGGGCAGCTGGGTTTGCATAAAAGAACTATATTAATATCACAAAAAGTAAAAAGGAAAAAAAAATCCAGTGATGATCTCAAATGTAGTGTGATTCAAATAAACATATAGTGTGATGCAGTGAGATGTGATAAAGTCTAATCTTACTGTTCTTACTGCGACAAAACTTGAACTGGCCTCCAAAGCCAGACTGAGCTCTTAGATGACTGACTGTAATTAGTGAGAGCTATGGATACAGATACAAAATTCCTAACAGCTTTTTGATTAAATCAGCTACCAGTCAATTACCGTGAATAGTGCAGATGAAATGAAATGTGTTTGTTGAAAGCTCTTGCCTAGTAAGAAGTCTAGCCCTCTGACAGCACCGTCAACCTGCAAAGGGATGGCAGCACAGGTCGGCAGATGATCAGAAGAGCAGACTATACTCGCTATTTTAAATTAAGTTACTCTGGAGTATTCTACTTTATATGTACTGCTATCTGACCTGCTCTTATTAGCAACACTATTCAAGACAAGAAACATTAAAAAATTGAGAGGGAAAAATGTTCTGCTCTGTTTTTCTATTATTTTACATATTTGGCAATAATTTGCAAAGTCGGTTGGTTTTGCACTTTGTGTTGTCTGATATGTATCTGTAGTGTGAAAAAAAGGACTATCTTTTTGACATTATATAGATGTTATTTTAAAATCATGAATCTGGCAGAGGACTTTAGCTTTTACTCTTTTTTTTTAGGCTAAGCAGCTTTCAACATTGAATTTCCCTTTAAGAAATGTTCAGTGGAAATGTTTGTTCAATAAAGAAGGCCAGATTACACAGTAATGTTCTTCTCCACTCAGAATAGCCATGCGCAAAGAAGGTGGTATCTAAAACATTTTGCATACTTCAACTCCAAAGGTTGTGTACATCATAATACATGTGACATAGTAAGGCCTTTACGTACGTTTTATTAGTTCAGTCCTAATTTGGTCCTTAGCTGAGATAGAAACACACACCATTTCACTGTTTACTTGTAAAATATTAACTTTCAGGTTTTTTGGGGACTATGGCAATGTTTCAGTATGTAAAAAATAAAATGTTAACGCAACAGGTTAACGCCTCGCATTAGGAATTTATTAGCTTAACATGGAGATGTTTTCAGATAGCATTTGTACGTCCTTACTAAATCACCAGTGAGGGCTGTATTGTCTATCTGTCACTATTTCACGTATGTCAAAATGTGCAAAGCCTCTACCAAAATGCTACAGCAATCTCAGTTACAAAATTATTTCGATTCTAAGCTCGCATTTCAGCTGGCCATAACCACAGGTGAAAAAAAAGTGGTTTGATACGCAGATCTGTAACCACGGGGGGGGGGGGGGGGG